TTCTGGTCACAGTTCACTGATTTAAATCCTTCGTTTTGGACAGAAATTACACAGAGACCATCAGAAGGAGGCTGCTGAATCCAGGAGCTGAGGAAAAAAACAAGTTTGATTAAAGCTGATAATTATTGGTATAAAACAAAATTGATTCATCCCAGATTTGGAATGATATTTTTAAATTGTTAGTGATTCAAAGTTTCTCTTACTTATCAGTCAGATAACTTCCATCCACCCATTTCCATTTCCCACCTTCAGCTCTCAGACCGATCCAGTATCCATTTTCTCCTGAACTCTTCCAGCTTTTGTCACTGATATATTTCTGATGAAAAGTTATCAGAAATACTCAAATACTTTGCTTAAAACACTGCGACACTGAGTGTGTTTAAATCAAAAGAAAATGTATTTTCGTTAAATAAATCTGTGCTAATGATCCAAAGTCTCATTACCTTTTCTGCTGCATTAATTACAACGGCCAAATTAGAAATCTTTCCTTTGCAGTTTTCTCGAGCTTCTCTCCAGGTTTTCTGCTCATGAGGTTCAGCATCATTAATTGCATAGCAGTTTGACTCAAAGGTGAGCCAGCCCTCCTGACAAGCTTTGCACGCCTTTTCTGCAAGTATAAAAATCAATTAATAAAGATCATCAGTGCACATTTATTTGACATTACCTATTTTTGTAGCTGATAGATTTGGAGCCTACTGTTATTTTCTTTGGGACAGTAGGCATCAACACTGTACTGACCTGGACCAAGACTGAGCTCCATCTTCATGAGTTTTATTTGTTCTGTTAGGTTCTGGTTTTCTGCAATGAGGTCTCTGATCTGTGTTTCAAAGGCAGTGGAGGTGTTTGTCCAGTTGAGTTGACTCCTCAATAAGTCTTTGTTCTTATGAATTAACAATGTGGTAACTGAAAAACACAACGTAACACTTCTTTGGCTTTACACGGACATTGCAGATGAACAAATTTTAAAGGTTATACTCACAATAGATGCGAAGGGCCATGATCAGTAACAGAATACCCCAGCAAATGGTTACTGATGTACAAGATTGTATACATGCACACTGCTTATCTAGGAGAAATAAATACTTATTATAGCAATCAAACTAATTCTTACGTTTAAGATTTTAAATTGCTTGTGTCAACTTAAAATCATTAATTGGCTTTTTATAATCATAAAACCATTCTAATTAATGAACTTTTTAAATTATTGTCTAGGGAAAAACATAACAATCTGTTTGAAAAAGTTCAGAGGCAAAACCAAGGTGAAGCCCATATTATGGATCAAACTTCAATAACAGTGAATCCTGTACATATCAAAACGTGATTTGAGAGGATGTTGTCATTAAGCTCTTGTAAGGAAAATGCCAACATCACACTTCCAGTTTCTAAGCAAGTTTCATATCAGTTCCTGTCGTAAAAGTAGCAGTTTTGTATTGTCTTTGTATAACTCACCATTTGTGTCAGATGGTTGTTTAGTTCCTTTGTTTTTCACGTTCA